TCAGCAATGATACCTTCCATGTTGCTCTATGTTTCTGTTGTTATAGCCAGTATTTACTCTACTTATCACTACTTGTTTTACTTTTACATGGTCCTCATTATTCTTTCAATGAAGAGAGCAGGCTCACCTTTATATTTACTAAATCCATATTCTTGAGTTGAATTCTTTCTATAGCTGAAATGAAGGTTATTACACAATATGTGATGGAATACTCATTGTATGATTTTAAGTACTTCTACTTGAGGAAATGCCAATTTATGGATTTGAGAACTCTTGTGATCATTCTGCTTATGATTTTATAAATGCATATACGTTTTTGCTAAAATTATACTTTGTAACATTTCATTTGGCACTTCTTTTAAACTTGAATTGTATCTGCAATGTTGCTAATTTTTGCTGCCATCAATTCTCAGAATGATGAGAGGCCTATTGGATGGCCATTTGGTCTTGGCATTTTGAATATGAGACATAGAGATGCAGAATCAACCCCAGTTGCCCCAGTAGAGCCACACTCACTGCATGTTCCCTCCACCAGTTTTTCCTCATTCTCAACCTCCAACCTTGATACTGAGGTAATCTACATTCCCTGGTCTTATTTTTTTATCCTTTCTCACTATTGATTTGGATATAAGACTTTTGCTATTTGATTAAATGAAAATAACTATGGAATAAAGAGAAAGCTATCTAGTAAGCAGTAATAACAGGAGTTAATAATTCCGGTCAAACTATCCATTAATTTAAGGACCAACATATAATTGAGGTAGGAAAATATAACTCTACATGAAAAATATTATTTTAAAATATTATTTTTTTTACACTGTTATTATAAAAATATTTATATAGTCAGTTAGTCAAAAATCATTTTAGATATGATTTATAATATAATTTATTATAAAAGTTAATAAATTTATTATTTTCTTTTTTTGGTAATATATGTCTATTTGTGATTGGATCAGAATGAAAAAACTATATACACATCAATTCAGCATAGACAATTCTCTCATTTTTTTTTTATATTTTTCTCCTCTATTTTTATGATTTTGAATCTCCAAACTAATATACAAGGAATTGAGACTCTCTGAAACACACTCTTTTTAACATTCTATTATTGGTTAATATTTATTAGAAATCACAAATTTTGTAGATCTCATATCTCATTTAAAGAGTCTATCTTGATTTAACAGTAGATTTTTCAAAGTATAACTTTTAACTAATAAGAAAAAGAGTATTTACAAGAGTGTCAATAGCATTACTAATATATTGATGTAGTCAATAATGAAGAAGATTCATTAAAGAAAAATCAAAGGCAAATTGCCCCCCTCCCCCCACTAACTGAAGGAGATGAATCCACCAGAAAAGGCTATGTGAAATAAATGCTCCTTTTGACTGTTTTCTTGTGTTTGAACAACCAGTCCACAGCATCTTTCTTTCAAGACAACAGTGTGTCCCTTGGCCATCTAATTGGATTAAGACCGGGTGAGAAGGGACGCTTGTACTTCCCAAACTCACTAAAATTAGAAGAAAAAAGGGAGAAGAAAACATTGCCAAAAGGTTCATGTTCAGATGCCTCTAAAGCAAAACAAGTGGACATGGCTCGTGGCATTTGCATACCTATACTGCTTGAAGCCCTGCTCAAGATTAGTAGAACCAAGAAAAGTTCAAGTAACTAGCACATGATGCTGTCACTGTCACACATCTAATGTTCGGTGCAAATCTGTCGGTTCTTTCTAGATAAAATTAACAAATGATTTTTCCTCAATTTCAGCCACATTTTACTTTCACAACTTTATTTATTGTAACTTTGTTTTATTTCAGACTACCAACATATAATCAAAAAGGCCATTCGAATTTTTTTATTATATTATTTTTAGCTCCAGTCCATTCTATTTTATCTTTGATCTTTATTACCACGAGAGTACACTATATACCCGAGATAAACTAGTTTTTGCTATTACTTGTGATCTTGCCAAATACCAACTTTAATTTTGAGTTAGTTGTGCTCCAAACATTACATAGATGTTGATTAATTGGCAAGTGAAGCAAATCATAAAAGTGATATAATGGCAACAAACAATATGATTCCTTAAGTGAGTCTCGTGACGTATTAGTTCACAAGTTTCAATTTTTGCATACCTCTCTCCATCCCTTTAGGCTCTCCTATAGTTGCAGTCTTTAATAAGAGTAAGAAAGACCCATGAAATTCGTTGGCCATATTTATTATGTGAGACTCACTTATCTTGTGTCTTTTTCTCTCCCAGAGGTTATCATAGGATTAAGTCTCTTTCACTGCACTCCCTTCACATTTCATCTAGGGCTCTATTAATTTTTGCTTATGTCTTCTTTTTCCTCAACTTTTTATGGTTGTTTTATGTGGATATACTCAAGGACGGAGCCAAGGGGGACCTACGGGTGCCACGGCCCCCCCAACAATTTTAATTTTTTTTATATACATATATATTACTATATGGCACCCCCTATTTTTAATATAAACTCATATGTATAATTAAATGAATAACCCAAATTTATTTTTTTATTCAACTTTTGGACTTCTGGTACGGCCTGCTATGTGGTATCACTTTAGAATTTTTTTTTTTTAAAAAAAATGTAGCGCCTCATTTGATCATTCCAATTCTCGGCCCCCAGTATTGAAATCCTGGTCCTGGATATACTACTCTAACAATTTCTTTAGTTTAGATGAAAATAAAAGAAGTGTATGTTATCGGCGAGTTTCACCTCAAAATGAGGGAAAAAAAAGTGGAAAGAGAGCGTGAATTCGATCTTCAAACACACAATTACCATTTTGGTATATGATTGTAAAAGAGTAATTTTCTAAATTACTACAACGAATGTATTTAAATAATTCCTTCCATTTTTTTTAATGTTTAAGGCTTTTCACGGTTTATAAAAAAATTAGTATTACTTTTTTGTTCCATATATAATAAACAAATGAAAGTCTTATTTTAATCCTAATTATAAGAAGAAAAATATTCCTAATATACCGGTTAAGAAATCAAAAGTAGAAAGTTTCTATTAAAAAATGCATATATACGCTTCTTTATAATTCTAAAAACATTGATTAGTAAGACCCTTATAAGAAACATGAGTCTTTTTAAATATATTAATTAATAATTATCTTTTATATACTTAATTTATTATGAGTTTATTAATGAATTTTTTACTCATTTTTTTCATAAAAAGTGAGTGTATTTATTGGACAATTAACTATAAATCATAAGCATGGATTGAGAAAGTTATTTTTTAACTTTTTTATAGTGTCATTAAATATAACTATCAGCTATATTTTAATTTTATAAGTATTTTTGGAATAAAATTTTAAATTATGTCATTATTATATATGATTAACTAAGTTAACTATTTTTATTAGTGTTGCTGAATTAGGTATTTGTTTCTCATATATAGAAACAAAAGTAATATTTAATACTAGTATGTTAAGTTAAAAATACTCTCATTTATGAAGTAAAAGTATAAATTGATAAATAAATATACAAGTAATATTACATTTCGTAAAAAAAGAAAAACTTGTGATCGAGCAATATTATATTTCGTAAAAAATACTTGTGATGCAAGTATCAAATTTTAATTTTAATTCTAAAATTTGAAAGTTTAAATATTCACAATTAATATAAAATATTTTATATTTCCAACTAATTAAATAATAATAATTTTGATATGAACTTTAGAGTGTTTAAATTAATGACAATATAAAAAATGTTTATATTATAAGTACATAACTTTTTTCTCAAAATAATCTTGTCCTGTAATATGTAAAAAAATTATTTATTTTATATCAGAGCGAAGAACACGTTTTAGTTGGTGGAAAAAGATGGAAGAGGGTTGCTGCCCCGAATTCCCTTTCAACTCAATCAACTGTTGGTGATAATAGAACTTCATAGTGAGGTTCTGGTAGTCCATCAAAACTGGGCCCAAATCTTTTAGCCACTAGGCCCCAAGCACAATATCAGATCCACCACCCATGTCAAGGATATACAAGTCAACAATGAACTCATGCCCCTGAATGATTAAAGCTAACCTAGGACAAAATTGATCACATGCTAATTTCTCCCCACTACCAACAAGGACCTTCAGAGGAGCAGTAGATTGACGAGGCAACCCCAAAAGGTGAGCAACCTTAAGTTGGATGAAGTTGTGAGTACTTCCCCAGTGAGGCATTGAAGCGGGGTTATCGAGACACCTCTGCCGTAAGGCGAGAAACTCACTGTCCTGTAACAAGGATTGCTTCAAGTCATCTAAGAAGACAAATTGAGGCACAGTGAGTACCTACAATTCGCCAACTACTGGACCAGTGGAGCGGGAAAGAGCGTCGGCCACCACATTCAATTTCCCGGGTTTATACTGAATCTCATAGTCATAGCCAAGAAGCTTAGCCAAATAATACTGCTGCTCTGGAGTCTGGATGACTTGAGTGAGGAGTTCCTTGAGGCTTTTCTGATCTGTCTGAATTATAAAAGAAGAACCCAAAAGATATTGGCGCCAACATTTCACTGCACTTGTGACAGCATGAAGCTCCCGAATATAGGCTGATGCCTTGGCCATACGCGGGCAAAAGACTTTGCTGAAATAGGCAATGAGGTGAAAGTCTTGGACCAGAACTACACCCATTGTTGTGCCCGATGCATCAGTCTGAATGATAAAGGGCTTAGAGAAGTTCGGCAAAGCAAGAACAGAAGCCTCCATCATGGATGTTTTGAGAGAATCAAAGGCCCTCTGAGCCTCTGAAGACCACTGAAAAGCCCCCTTTTTCAACAAGTCAGTGAGGGGATGGGCAATTGCAGCATATCCTTTGACAAACCTGCGATAAAAGCCCGTCAAACCCAAGAATCCATATAAGCTTTTGAGAGAAGTGGGGGTGTGCCAATCCACCATAGCTTGAATTTTGGAGTGGTCAGGGGCAGCAAAACCATCAGCAACCACATGACCCAAATAATCAACCTGAGACTGAGCAAAAGAACACTTGATGAGTTTTAAGTAGAACTGGTTAGCATGTAAAATATCAAAGACCTGACGAAGATGAATAACATGCTGCTCAAGAGTGGAGCTGTAAACAAGAATATCATCAAAAAAACAATAACAGTCTTGCGGAGGAGTGGCCGGAAGATGTCATTCATGGTGGCTTGGAAGGTTGCTGGGGCATTGCAGAGACCGAAGGGCATCACACAGTATTCATAATGGCCATCGTGAGTGCGGAATGCGGTCTTATGGACATCAGAAGGATGCAACCTGATTTGATGAAAACCCGAGGTCAGGTCCAGCTTAGAAAAACAGCGAGCAAGCCTCAATTCATCGAGTAACTCATCGATTGTTGGAAGGGGGAAGCGGTCCTTGATTGTGAGTGCGTTCAGGGCCCTATAATCAACACACATGCGCCAAGACCCATCCTTCTTGCGCAATAAAAGAACCGGGGATGAAAAAGGGCTTGTACTGGGGGAGATCCAACCCGAATCCAACAATTTCGAAATCTGCCTTTCAATTTCCAATTTGTGTGCATGGGGGTAGCAGTATGGACGGACATTAACTGGGTTTGCAGCAGCAGTGAGTGGAATGTGGTGATCCGTGGGCCGCGGAGGAGGTAAACGTGTTGGTTCGTCAAAGAGGAAGGAGTAAGATAGGAGTAGTTGATGAATACTTGCATTTGGGTGGGAGAGGGAAGGGGAAATGGAGGGGGCAGGAGAGGAAGATGAAACCTGCAGAGAGAAGAATTGAGCCTCATGGTCAGAGCGAAGAACACGTTTTAGTTGGTGGAAAGAGATGGAAGAGGGTTGCTGCCCCGAATTCCCTTTCAACTCAATCAACTGTTGGTGATAATAGAACTTCATAGTGAGGTTCTGGTAGTCCATCAAAACTGGGCCCAAATCTTTTAGCCACTAGGCCCCAAGCACAATATCAGATCCACCACCCATGTCAAGGAAAATTTGAATTTAGGATATTATACATGATAATCCCAATTTTATGCTCTACGAAAGATGAAAATATTGTCTTAGGAGATCGGATGAATTTAGCCCACTACTTCAACAACTCCAAACTCGGTTGATTTGATGATATATAGTATACACTACCTTTTTATTATACACCTCCTCTTTTTTATTTTTTTAAAATATCTTTAATTTTTTATCCTGTTTTTTTTTTTTAATTTTACTCCTTTATTATTTAATTTATAATTTTTTCCTTTTTTTATGTTCATATATTTCAAGAATTTATTTTTATTAAAAAAAAGAAAAGGAGGTGTACTTAAAATATATATATATATATGTCATGAGTCAAACAAAGAAAAAAAAAGATGTATGTAAAAAAATACTAAATTGAAAATAAAATATCTAAAAATAAAAAATAAAAAATTAAATATATTTTAAGATTTTTTTTTTAAAAAAAGGGTGTACTTATCATAGAATGCAAGTGTATATATACAAGTCCCAAACTTAAAGCCCGAAATTAAGAAGCCCATGCCAATAGGAAGCCCGGCTCGGTCGAAGTTTCGGGATGCATCGGTGTTGTTCTCCACGGACAGCTTAGGAATAGTTATGAATAGGGAAGCTTAGGAATCACGAAGTTAAAAATTAAAAAAAAAAATAAAAAGAAATTGTGAATTTTGCAAATGCTCAACGTGAACTTTTTTTTTAATAAGTAATTTTTTATTATTAAATGCTCAAAGTGAACTTGTCCATGCATTTGTTTTTAATTCCCCTTTTTGCATTATTCTTTTTAAGGTTCTTGGAAATAAAGCAAGGGTGTAAAAAATGAAATTTTAGTAAAAATATATAAACTGAAAATGAGATTAAAAAAAAATTAAGCATACATTATTTTTTTTCCTTCAAATTAACATTTATGTGTATTATTTGGATAGGCTCTTTCTAGCTTTCACAATTAATACAATACGGGTACGGGTATGTACTTACCTATCCCGTACCCGTATCCGTCCCCGTTTTCATTTTTAATTTAATACTCACTTTCAATTTAATTATATTAAATAATTTAATATTTTTATGTGTAATTATTTATTATAATAAGAGATAGAGAAATAACTTAATTATAATTATAATATAATAAAAAAAATAATTTAAAAATATCATATTTTTTATAAAAAATAAAAAATAAAAAATTGATAGGTACGGATATAAGTATACTCAATACCTGACAAAAACAGGGATGAAGATGAAATCACATACCTAATGGATATAGGTATAAGTTTGACTCGCAGGAATATGAATATGTATCATGAAACTCGTACTCGACCCGTCTCGTTGCCATCCCTAATCTAACTACCTTTAACATAAGAGCTCTTTTGTAGATATCCACTCTCTATCTTTTTTACCGCATCTTAGTCATACTAGAATACAATCGAACTCAAGAGTACGTTCTTCGAAATAAATGACTCAAATTCTATGCTGTTAATTATCTATGACTTGCAATCTTAAAAATAAAACAACATATTGAATATTTCTAGCTAGTTGTTTACTGAGACGCTGTTGATATTAATCATGGGAAGATGCCAGATGCCACGAAAGCAAGTCTCTAAAAAAATTTCTCTAAGGTACGCAGTATAAGAAACAGAAATTCTTAAAATATTAATAGCATTAAAGCAGTGATCAAAATAATCGAAATTAATACACTATGAAGTTGTAACTTGTAAGGTCATTTTGCTTTTCTTTTTTCTTTTCTACATGAACAAGCTCAACTCATATCATTTATAATAAGAGATAGATGGTGATGAGATGAACTCAAAATCATAGTAACTAACATAAGACCTTATATTCTTGTAAGTGACAAGATTCGTTTGTCTATAGATAAAACTAATTAACCAAATAGTTTTGTGATATATATATATATATATATATAAGGGCGTGTTTACATTTTGATAATACCAAACTCAGTTTGCGACATGGAGTTATTGTGAATACCATCAACAACTTGTTTATTCTCTAACTCATGCTTACATCTTGATATTCCGTCAAGTGAGAATCATTTTGTACGAGTTTTAATATGAGAATCATTGTTATCTCTATCTAATACACATCTCGAATCCATAACAGCCAATGCCCTTGAAATTTGTTGCATCTATGTTACATTTCAGTGACCCATTCATAGATTTCATCCAAGCTTGATGGTTAATTAGTTGAAGTTGGAGGAGCAGAATCACAACCAAAATTGTGGACAAGTTGTCATTGATTTAGATGCTCTTTTGCGATAGATTTCAATGGTGGTTGTACCATGTCTTCCAAAACTTTTCTGTTTCCAAACTTACTTGTAAGGTCATTAAAACACATGATTTATGTTATTACTTTGTTCTTTTTTAATATCTAGCACAAATTTCTTATTATTTTTTGTTCATAACTCCTAATTCAATTATTTTACAAAAAAAATATTTGTTAAACATTTAAAACATTTTATAGAATTGTTCACAAACCAAAATATATGTCACCTATGACACGAGTCGCTTGGATTTAGATTTTAATTCAAAAGTATACTTTCATAAAACATAGTAACAAAAAAAACTCTCACTTTATTTTGATTGAAATATTATTTGACAATAATTATTTAAATTACTACCCTTCTTAATACATAATTAATTGCTATTTCTCTATTTAATTCATTTTAAAAATATTGTACCAAATATATAATCAAATATAAAAATAGTTCTTAATTGTGAACTTTAAGATAATGTATAAACTATGATCATGAATAAAAAAATATATTTAATTTTTATTGACCATATTAAGTCATGGTCCTACACCTTTGAAGAAACAAATGGATGGATTGACCCATCATCATCCCGGCCAGCCTAGCGAAGTCCCTATTGCCAAGGAAGTGCGAAAGGTGGTCCAATCAATTTTCGTGGATAATTTGATAGTGACTAACTCCTTAATGGACAATTATCATTTCGTTTCCCCATAACCAGAAATAGAAATTACTACACCCAACAAAATTTATAATGTCACCCATTTTTCTCAATTTTAATATTTACTTTCTAAATACTAACACATTCTTTTTTCTTCTTTAGTATCTCAAAATTTAAACGACTTAAATCCAAACAAGTGCTAGGAGAAATATCCGTGCTCACAGTTATTGCGCACATAGTTTTAGACGTTTTCTGTCATTATCATGCGTTTAGAATTTGTATTAACGAAGCACTAATGCATCTCTTTTGTCTTCTCAATTTGTCTAGCTTTACATGCATTACACGTATTCATCACCGAAACCTTTTGAATAACTCGGTCTAATCTGAAATTAATTTTAACACGTTTGAGTTTTAAAATTATAATCTATGTACTTTAAAAAGTTCCAATGTTTAATTCTTAATCGCCTCAATTTGATTCAAAAGCCTATATTATCAAATTTTCCAAGTCGAAAGATGAGATAAACTTGATGCTGTGATTATGGGAATCTAACTCGCAACTTAACACGTTACAACATTCACATTTATCTTTAATTGAACATCCACATGCCTTTCTCGGATTGGAAAACTTGCTACCAAAGATAAGAGGTGCTTGATCCGAGCTTTGTCCATATACATATTGAAAGTTGATTAACGAGAAAAAGCAGAGAAAAACATATAGAACATACGGATACTATATAAACACGATATTATACTTTCCATAAGTTGTTTGGATACATTTGCTGACAGATAATAGCAAATCTTGATTGCCGACACAACATTGATCAAGTGACATCAACTTTACCCTACGAGATGTCAAACATGTTATAGCAAAATACCAGCTAACAGAAGAATGTATACCAACCCATTCACTAACAGTTAAGTTTACCATTTACTGCAAGCAAATCATAGAGCCATACTTGCACTCTTGTGTTAAATTATTCCTCAACCACGTTCACCAATTCATATTCGACAAGAGATAGGTTGTTGTCCTCTTTAACTACAAATTCTGCAGGTTCAGTGACCTCAATGCGGCCCCATTTGTCAACAGCAAGCCTCATTGATCCCTTGAACATATCAATCTTGGCATTACGAAGAATCACAGTGTTATCAGGCTTCATTAAGTCAACTGTACATGCATAGGAAGGAAAAAAAAAGGTTACATCTTACACGATAGAACATAAACTTGTGTCTTATCTACCACTCCCTGTAGTATATCATATACCAATGTTACCAATCAGAGGCAACTTTTATTAAAATCACCTGAAAATTCATGCATAACTTGCACATTGAATTTTGTAATGTAAAAAGAAAATTGTATGGATGAGGTATGGACTCTCCAAACAACATAAACCCAAGATAATCCTGCAAAACAAGTATATCACACAAACGTCTTCTCTATATTATGCATCACATTTTCATCATTTTATTCCAAATTTTCATTCCTCACGGTTCTCTAACAAAGCCTAAAAGCAGTCAATAGTAGTTACTTTATACTCCTACCATATACAGAATAAATAACTTAAACAGTCAATATCTAGATTATAAGCATGTAAAATTCTTAAAGAAACAAATTTAAGCTGTGAATTAAAAGCTGATGATATGCAATGACAGAATACATTACTGAAATAACTGAATGAAAGCTCCATCAAAAGTAATACAGTAACAAACACCAAACGATGGCAAGTAAAAATTAACTGATCTGGATTCCAAAATTCCAGGTAGCCCAAATCCATAAGACATTCAAAGCAACTGAACAACATTTAGGGGCATACCCTAACCCAACAAATGTAACCAACAACAAACCCCACACATCTAATTAACCCATTATATCTATTCAACCTCGTAGCATTTAACACTGACAAATATCATGCAACAAAAAAATCAAAGCAGAACAAGCAACGACATCTAAAACCCAAAAGCAATACATTCAGATGAGTCCAATCGATAACAATTCATGTTTCAAGAAACCCCAACATTTGTGATAAACGCATTACAATCCAACAGAGTCAGCCACTTCAAAACGCCATTCTGATCCCCATTCCCAAGTACACATTATCGGAACCAAAACCCCACATCACCAAAAATATGCAGATCCATTGAAAACAGACCAAAACAAATAAAACACACAGAGAGAGAGAGAGAGAGAGAAAGTTTTGAAACAAATAAAAAGGCACCCAAGTGGAAAGTTTTTATTTTTATGAAAGCAAATACAAAATAATGAAAAGGGTTGTGATGGAGTTGATGGTAGTGAGTAGTGGGAGCAACCTTGTTCGTTGCGAGCGGTGAAGACGATGGTGCCGGTGTCGTCGCCGATGAGGCACTCGGCGATGAGGGTGGGGCGGAGGTTGTGGGAAGAAGAGGGTCGTCCCTTTTGCAAAACAGTGTTGGATGACAAAACCTTGGCCACCAGGGTGTGACCGTTGGTTCCCGGTTTCAGTTGATCCACTTTCGTGAAAACCGGTTTTCGCTTGGCCGGTTTGTCGCCGCCACTAGCGTCATGGTTGGTCGCTGAAGCCATGTTTTGTTCCGATCAACGGTTCCTTTCTGATGATGCTTTGGAATTGGCTTTCCTTTTATATTCTCTGGCCTCTGTGTGTGTGGAATTTGAAGAGATGGGAAAGAAGGAAGGAGCAATAAAGGCTTCAAGTGGCATTTCAGCGTCACTTTTCTGTTGGAAAGGATGCGACACGTTAATCGACCAAATGTCACGTGACATGCCATCAAGGGTGCAAATGGAAAGATACATTCCTTAACCTTAACTTACTACTTCCTTCTCGGCCCAGCCCACCACTATTTTACAAAACAATAATATTAATTTTTCAAACTTGTATGAGATTTAACGAGTTAAGAAAATGTCTCCACCATGGATATTATTTGGGGAAATTAATTAATATATTTTATAATGGTTAGTCTTATTCTAATGGGATGAATATTGATATAGAGCTTCGTGTTATAAGTGTTTTTTTTAGTTTCTTTATTAAAAATAAAGAGTATTTTTTAATAAAGAAATTTTCAAAGATATTTCTTAATTTATATTTAAATAAATTTATAATATGCAAGATTATTATTAAGAAAAAGTCTTCTTTAGAGGCTTACTCTGTTTTAGAAGATTTAGCCTCTAACAACTATCATCACTATTTTAATGACATACATATATCTTGAAGAAGTTTGTTGGAGTCCATAAAGTAAAAGAAGTGAATTCATTTCTAGAGGATAAATTGGATACTCTTACTTAACAAATGAAGTCCTTAATAAAAGTCCAAACTCAACCTATTCCACAACCACCTTTGATTTGTAGTTAATGTGGTCAAATTGAACATAAAAGCAAATATTGCTAAATGAGAAAATTCTTTACTCAATATGCATTAATTGAGTGACTCTATCAGGAGCCACCATAATCTTAAATGAAGGAATTTTGTTTAGTGATATGATTCTTATGTTCAAGTGCTTTAGGTTGTGGGTCATGCTAGCTACATTGAGTGTTGTATTGTGAATTATACCTCCATATGATATGATATTTGTGACCCTTGTATGTAAAATGATGTGTATTAATTGAAAAACAATTTCAATAAAGACTCAAACCTATAGAGATGAGATATAGCATGTGAAGCTTTGGAGACCATGTACATTGTGATCAAGTATTATGACTTGATAATCATTGTTTTTTGCATGTCTTTATGAAATTGAATGGTAGAGGCCACTAAGGGTTGTTAATCTTGACCTTGGGATGATGACATTGTTAAGAAAAACTCATTCATCTATTTTGATTCCACGTGAGTCGAAGCATACTACTATAGTTGGATAATCCTAACTAGTCACTAAAGGGATATCAAACTAGTTGAAATTGTTAGTGTTAGTGTATCCATGTGTGGGCGAGTTGTCAATTGCATGTACTCCTAAACCACTTCTATACGTTTTGACTCGATACCACAAGCATATAAGATAGAAGCTGGGAATTTTTCATTGCATACTTTGCATGTGTTTAAATTAAGTAATACCATGAATGAATAATTGCTTGCTTTCATGTGTGTATTCTAATTGCTTCCCCTATTATATCAAAAGCATGATGTGAGATATATCTCAATTTTCACCTTTTTGTGTCTTTTTCTATGAGTTTTATTGTATAGGTTATGTCCTATAGAATTATGATAAGTATGATGTTAGAAAAAAACCTTAAACCTGGAGATTTGTTGATATTTTCTTTTGGTTGAATTTTGTATGCTTTTGATAGATTGTGACATCAAGAAATTTTTTTATCAATTGTCTTCATGGTTTTACATTTTATATGAGTTTAAGTTACAATTCTTGAGTTGTTAATGACCCTTTGAGTGCCAAAACCTTTTATGAATTAATAAAGTATTTATAGACTCATTATTGTGATGTGGTATTTTTTACTTGCGAAATGGTTTTAAGGAATTAAGGTTTTACTCTATTTCGCATACATGAAGCAAATACTTTTATGCAAAATCAATGAGTGATTTTGAGGTTAAAAAGTGTTATAACTCACACAATTTCATAGGACATTTGATTAGATTAGAAACAAAGAGTTGCAAACTTTTGTAATACATTTAAGAGTCTTAAAGAGCAGTGATTTAGATTTAGCAAAATGTTTAATTTTTGATTTTTTAGTAAAATTAGGAAATATTATAAAGATAGTCGTAATGAATATAAACTTAAATCCTCGTACTTTTAACTACTCTCAATCTCGTCTACCAAGTCCCAACTATTAGACTAAAAATGTTTTTTAAATCCTCTGGCTTCTACCCTAACTCCTTTCCCTCAATCATTAGGCTAACCTTAGTGGTATAGTCTAAAAATGTTTAAATGAAATGACATATATCTCTTGTTATTATTCAAAAGGTGATTTAAGATTAATTATCTCATATTATCATTAAAAACGTGATTTTAAGGTTAATATAGTTTTTCAGTAAAAAAAAAGGTTAATATAATTTAATTTAATTTTTTTATTTACAAAATTACCCCAACTTAGACAAATTAATTTGGAGAGAAATACTTTCTAATGCTTATTTCTTTAAGTAATAAATGATTAACTTAAAAATCATATCTATCATAATAAAAAATTAAATATTAGTTAATAATGTAAAACCTTTCACACTTAGAGTGGATGAAAATTCAGCTCGAATTTGGAAGCTTTTGCTCTTTCACATATGACATATCTATTTTTACGAAAAATTGCTTAATCCTATGAAATAATAAGCTGAAAGGATAAGTCAAAAATATAACAACAGTTATACAATAAATTCAATGATAAATATCTCATTCGGTTAATAAATGGTTCAGCATTTCGAGTTGGAGGATATAGTAGGATTTAATTTTTTATGTTTACATGTAACATAAATATCAACTCATAAGTCAATATGCGTCTAAATGATTTTTTTCCTAAAAAGTAAAATATTTTCTATAAATACTTTGAAGAAATAGTAAACATTCAATTATTTTTAGAGTGACAGCAATTTTCATCACAAATGAAGTGTATATACACTATCTCTGGTTGTGAATAGAGAAAAATATGTAAAAAATAAGGTGAAGAAAAATATAAAAGAAAAAATAAATAAGTAGATATAAGTAAAAAATAAGGTTGTTTGATTAGAAAGAAGTAAATAAAAAATAGAAGAAAAATAATATTGAAAAGTTAATTGATTTGAAGGAAAAGAAAAGATAGAAATCATAATTAATAAAAAATTATAATTTTATCCTTTGATGTTATGTACTAATTTTTTCATTAATTTTTATTCAAATAAATAAAATTTCATTAAAATAAAACACCAATCATATTTGTACCACCACCGAGGTCCACCGAGGTCATACCGAGATCCTAATATGACATATGGGCCAGTGTAAGTTGACTTAAACCCCGAGATCAACGAAACCGATATCTCAATATATAAACAACATCAAATATATAACACGTGCCAATAATGATCAACCTAACCATAATTAACTCACCTCGAAAAACTGCTATGGCGGTTACATTGGAAAACCGCACAACCCAGGTAAACGATAAGAATGAGAATACACAATGGATGAGGACTAACTTGATCGTTGGAGTCCTTTTTGTAGGTACATCCGAGATGCCCGAGCAAGGAGACCGGAGAGAAGGAATTCAACTCATCAATCAACTTCGTACAATCTCGGCCAGGCTCAGCAAGGGAGACGACTTATTCGAGTTAGGAAGACGACCTGATTCGTGTAAGTACATTTGGAGCTAGAAGGAGGGCCTGATAAAACTTTTCCTCCTTCACCCTTATGGTTTCAACCCGAAGCCAGACCAAAAGAGCAACAAGCATACCTCGCCCAAATACACCCACTATGGAAGATAACCCTGCCTTACGACGGTTACTCGAACAAATCGAATTAATGCAGCAACAACATGCGGCAGCGATGGAAAACCTTCGGAAACAGCACGAAGCCGACTTACAACAGTTACGCGCTGAACAAGCCGCGTTCCGAGCTCAATGGCAACAAAATCCACCACCACCATACACTCACCATGCTAGTCATGCTCCACCAACCACGGAAGAATATCAGTCTTCTCATGATCCTACGTACCCTCCTCAACCCAGCCGAACTCACCAATCCGTGCAAACCCACATCAGCCGCCCTGATCATGATCCTCTTTCCACTCGGCGACATCCTTTCGTTGATGGAATAATGGAAGTTCCCCTTCCAAATACTTGGAAGCCATTAAACATCGACAGATATGATGGAACTACTGATCCCGATGAACACATTGATGCGTATGTTACCCAGATTAACCTGTACACAAATGACGATGCCATTATGTGTCGCGTGTTCCCAACTTCACTCAAAGGAGCCGCTCTCAGTTGGTACACACAACTACCACCCAGATCAGTAGACAATTTCGATACCTTGGTCCGCCTTTTCTCTACCCAATACGCTACCAGCAGACCTCATCATATCACCTCGGCAGCGCTGTCCAATTTGCGACAACAGGATGATGAATCCCTCAGGCATTTTATGGAGCGATTTGCTAACGTTTCCATCAAAATACGAAACCTTAATCCTGAAGTCGCCCTCCATTCCATGCTGATGGAACTTAAACCTGGACCCTTCGTTAACAGTCTTTGCCAACACCAACCAGCCACCATGGATGAACTTCGAGCACACGCTGCCGGATATATTCAGATGGAAGAGCATGCTGAGTTTCGTAACCATATCCGAGATGACCTCGCTGCCAAAGGGGAGTCTAGTACCAGGGAGAAGTCCAAAACTCATTTCGACCAGAGATCAAAAAGACCTCGTCAGTCACGAGGTCCCAGGTATGAATTTTATACCCCTCTTAATGCTCCTCGTATTAATATTTTAGAGGAAGCTAACCATGCAGATTTGATCTCTCTACCTCCACCCGCACACAACTCGGCCAATGCCGACAAGAGCAAGCATTGCCGTTATCACCGAAATTACGAGCATACAACAGAGGAGTGTTGGAGTCTCAAAGACCGCATAGAAGAACTTATCCAGGCTGGTCACCTCGGGCAATATATCCAACGCGGACAGACTTCTCGTGGAGGCTTTCGAGGACGTGGTAGAGGACGCGGCCGACATCCAGGCTGATATCAAGGGCACTATCCAACTTACACTGGATGATATGTCATATTAGGATCTCGGTATAAGGAAAGCAAACCAAGTGCAAATAGCGCCGACCAATAACACGCTGATAAATCCTCTGAGGGGAACAACATACGCGGCGTTATCAACACTATTGCTGGCGGGTTTGCTGGAGGAGGAAGTTCTAATTCTGCTCGGAAGCGGCATCTCCGCAATGTCCACAATGTTGACAACTGCTTTAATTCGGAATTTAAGCCAGACATACACACTCCTCCTGTTGTCTTCACTGATAACGATTACGAGGGCATAAGCCTAAACCAAGATGATCCAATGGTCATCTCGGTCGAAGTAGCCAACTGGGAAGTTCAGAAGACATTAAATGATCAAGGCAGCTCTGCCGATGTGCTATATTGGCCAACCTTCTTAAAGCTTGATATTCCTCACAGCATGATCCAACCGCACTCTGAGCCTCTTGTAGGCTTCGCAGGTGAGCGAGTCCATACTCTCGGGGTTTTTTAATTACTAACCTCTTTTGGTACAGCTTCGAATTCGAGAAGGGTGTTGGTGAAATATCTCTTAGTTGATGCCATCACTTCTTACAACATTCTTATCGGAAGACCGACACTGAACCAATTGGGAGTTGTAGTATCTACACCTCATTTGACCATGAAATTCCCGGGACCAATGGACAAATCATAGCTATCAAAGCCAATCAACAGTTAGCAAGAAAATGTTACGCCGAAAGTCTCAAGATCACTCCCACCAAACCTCAGCTCGGAACGACAAGTTCAACCACAGTGGCCCATGTTGACAAGAACGAGATGGTCGAGCTGGATCCCCGAGTTGACATGTACGACCACCGACCTATTCCTATTAATGATTTGCTAGAGTTCCAAATTGGTAAAAGGCCGGGACAATGCACCAAAATTGGAAAGCACACAAAGCCCGAGCTCCGAGGTAAAATCATGTCAATTTTAATTAAAAATGCTGACCTTTTTGCCTGGAGCAGTGTAGATATGCCAGGGATAGACCCCAATTTTATTTGCCACAAATTAGCCATTTACAGAGAAGCAAAGCCAATATCTCAGAAGCAAAGAAAGATTGGTGGCGAGAGAAGAGAAGTTGTTAAAATTGAGACTCAAAAATTGTTAAATGCATGATTCATCAGAGAGATTACATACACCACTTGGCTAGCTAATGTCGTAATGGTCAAGAAATCTAACGGCAAGTGGCGTATGTGTGTTGACTATACAGATCTGAATAAAGGCTGTCCAAGAGATGCATACCCTTTACCCAGTATTGACAGATTGGTGGATGGAGCCTCGGGTTATGCTATGCTGAGCTTCCTAGATGCCTACTCAGGCTATAACCAGATCCTTATGTATCCGCCAGATGAAGAGTACACTGTTTTTATCACAGAACAAGCCAACTACTGCTATCATGTCATGCCATTTGGACTTAAGAATGCTGGAGCAACATATCAGAGACTAATGGACAAGGTCTTTGCTGACCAGATCGGCCGCAATCTTGAGGTTTACGTTAACGAAGTCAGCCGCAGATCACGCCCAAGACCTCAAGGAGATCCTCCAACAAGTCAAAAAGCATAACATGAGATTAAATCCTGAAAAATGTGATTTTGGAGTTCAAGGTGGGAAATTTTTAGGATTTATGATTACTTGCCGAGGGATAGAAGCAAATCCAGACAAGTGTCAGGCGTTGATCAACATGAGGAGCCCCCAAAATCATAAAGAAGTACAGACGTTGGCGGGCAGGCTTGCCAGTTTATCTCGGTTCATCCCCAAGATGGTAGAAAAGGCCAAGCCTATTTTTAGCTTGCTCAAGAAACCCAAGGATTTTTGCTGGGATGCCCGATGTGAACAAGCTTTTTCGGATTTCAAAAGTTTTCTGAGTTCACCTCCTATACTAACCAAACCTCAGGATCGTGCTGATCTCTTGTTGTACCTTGCCGTTGCCGATAATGCAATCAGTGCAGCACTTATGCAAGCCGATGGTAAGAAACAAATTCCCATTTACTTTATCAGTCGTGTTTTGCAGGCAACCGAGCAGAGGTATCAAACTATTGAGAAACTGATCTTAGCCTTGATAACCTCGGCTCGCCGGCTCCGGCCGTACTTCCAGACCGATTATCCCATCAAATAGATACTTCGGAAGCCTGATCTTGCAGGTCGGATGACAGCTTGGTCAATCAAACTATCTGAATACGGAATCAAGTATGAAAGCCGAGGAGCGTTGAAAGCACAATGTCTTGCCGATTTCATAGCCGAACTCACCCCTAGCGTCCCATTGGAGGATCAATGTTGGATTTTACACGTCGATGGCTCGTCTAATACCAAAGGTAGTGGTGCTGGAATTATCCTTGAAGGCCCTGATGATATGATGCTTGAACTTGCAATTAAGTTTGATTTCCGAGCTACTAACAACCAGGCAGAATATGAAGCTCTACTTGCAGGTTTAAGGCTCGCAAAAGATGTTGGTGTTAAGAAGCTCAGATGTTGTAGCGATTCCAAATTAATTACCGAGCAAGTCGGAGGAAGCTACCAAACAAAAGAACCTCAGCTGCGAAGGTACAACCTTATGGTGTCTCATTTGACCTCTTCTTTTGACCATTTTCAGATCGAACATGTCCCAAGAGCACACAATGTTAGAGCTGACCTCTTATCCAAGTTAGCCAGCACCAAACGTCCAGGACAACACAAAATAATTATCCAGGAGACAATTAGTGCACCAAGCTATGATTCTGTAGCAGTTTTGGCTAACAATCCTGGTCAGTCCAGTTGGATGTTAAGCATTTGGCAATATCTCACAGACGGTACTTTACCGAGTGACAAAGTTGAGGCTTCAAAGGTGAAAGCCAAATCTTGCCATTTCACACTCGAAGCTGGTGAGTTGTTCAAAAGGGGATTCTCAGTCCCCCTTTTAAAGTGCCTTACCTCGGATCAAGATGAGTACGTAATGGACGAGATCCATAGAGGCATTTGTGGCAAACATTCTGGAGCTCGGTCCATGGCTGCAAGGGTGGTCCGAGATGGCTCATATTGGCAAACTATGAGATCGGATTGTAAAGCATATGTACAAAAATGTCAAGCTTGTCAGAAATTTGGCAACCTGCATCAATTACCCGCAACAACACTACACTCAATGCAATCAGCGTGGCCCTTTGCGTGGTGGGGTATGGACATACTCGGTCCTTTCCCAATTGCCAAAGGCCAATTGAAATTTTTGGTTGTATGGATTGATTATTTCACAAAGTGGATTGAAGCTGAACCTTTAGCTTGGATTACAGCAACCAATGTGCAGCGGTTCACGTGGAAGAAAATCATTTGCAGGTATGGCCTACCTCAAGCAATCACCACAAACAATGGCAAGCAATTTGTAGATAAAAATTTTGAGCAATTCTTGAAGCAACTCGGAATCAAGCATAAAGTCACCTCAGTAGAACATCCACAAACAAATGGCCAAGCTGAGGCAGCAAATAAAGTGATTCTCCGTGAACTCAAGAAGAGGCTAGGATCTTCCAAAGGAGAGTGGGTTGAAGAGTTACCTAGTGTTCTATGGGCATATCATTGCACGCCACAAACCACCACTCAAGAATCTCCCTATAGGTTGACCTATGGCTCCAATGCAATGATACCCGTTGAAGTTGGCGAGCCGAGTCATAGAAGATTAACATTTACCGAGTCCCAAAATGGAGAACAGCTGAGCTTGGACAGAGATTTACTTGATGAAACAAGGGAACATGCCCGAGTTCAAGAAGAAGCATGCAAACTTTGAGCATCACGGAGGTACAACTCGAAGCTCAAACCGAGATCCTTTCATGAGGGCGATCTCGTCTTGAGGGCCACAGGCGACGCTAGGAAAGATACCTCAACAGGAAAGTTCGCAGCCAATTGGGAAGGTCCTTTTCGCATCCTAGAATGCCTACAAAATGGAGCGTATAGACTAGCCGAGCTCAGTGGCAAAGTTCTTCCTAGAACTTGGAACGCCACCCATTTGAAATTTTATTTCAGTTGAAATGTGTAAACCCAGGTAATGTACTCTTTTTCCTACTTCAGTCTTTTTTCCCAGTAAAAAAGAAGGGTTTTAGCTGAAGAGGTTTTAACGAGGCATACCTGAGGTCAACAAGAGAGATGTAATGCACATATAACTCAATATTACAAGTTCTCTCTTCTTCCAATTTTATTTCCTCTCTTTTATTGCCTTCCAATTTTTTTCAATTCGCGCTTTAACTTGTTGCTAACTTTTAATTCATTACACTTAAAAATTGGCCAAATCTGAGCCGATGTTAACGAATTCGTCCAAATCTGGGTCGACGTTATCTCTAATTCGAAACATGGCCAAGTCTGAGCCAACGTCATTCAACTCGGCCAAGTTTGAGCCAATAATGAACATCTGAGTCGATATCATCTTTGACTCGAAACTCGGCCAAGTCTGAGCCGATAATGAATAAATTCACCCAAATCTGGGTCGATGTTATCTTTAATTCAAAAACTTGGCCAAATTTGAGCCAATGTTATTCAACTCATCCAAGTATGAGTCGAGGTTAATTTCAATTTGAAACTTGGTCAAGTTTGAGTCAATATTAATCAAGTATTATTAACCTTGGCCATTAATTTCTAGATGACATTAATCAAGATTTCAAAATTGGCCAAATTTGAGCCATTAGCCAAGTTTTGAGCAATAATTCAGCCAAGTTTGAGCAATAATTCCGTTCAGTTCATAATATGGCCAAGTTTGAGTCGAACTTTCTGAATTATTTATGATTTAGCCACCAAATTTATGTTGATCCTATTTTATCCATATATTAGATAAATCGTTCACGTAAGAGAAAATTTCATCACTTTTAACACAAGTTATTTGCCTTAGTCTTAATTCACGACATGACCAAGTTTGAGTCAAATCTGGGCATAGCAATGTAAATAATATTCAAAACTTCACAGGATTGTCAGCAATTACATAAAGTGCCTATGAATACGTTGGAAAGCAAT